GCAAGGGCACAGTGCTATTATACATGAAAATTTAGTTTCCAGTGAGTTCCTGCCCGAGACTGGGACAGCAACCTTTATTCATGCCTAGATCCACCAATATAGATTCAGCCTCTGAGTGGATTATTTTATGCTGAGTTATTAGATACTCCAAGGCCAGATACCTATGTTATACGTAACTGATTTCAGTATGTCTCTTCTACCAGTTTGCTACAACCATATGAAACAATGAATGTCAGCTCTAGGTCAGCATGACTAACATATGATAGAAGAAAGACTGTTCTGGGTACAGATAGATATTACCAGCACCTGTCAAAGACTGTATGGGTTACAAAAGATAATATGTTGGAGGTGTTGTCTGCTAGAAATTAATCTTCAATAGCCACCACACATCCAACAAAAAGGGTCAGGCTGTGAAACTCTGATACATATTGAGTAGTCCCATTGAAACGCATGAGGCTACGCAGGTTGCTTATGACATAAGCAAAGGTACAAAACTGGTTTATAAGCAACTTAGAAAAAAGAAAATGGACTCCACAGCACTGCCACAGTCAGCTTATGCATGGAAGCTTCAAGTTCAAACAGCTGTTGCCCAAAGAGGGAGCAGAACCTTATGCTACTCAAGTTAATCACACTTTTGCTACTGATGTCAATGAGGCCAGAATTTCATCACGAGTCTTTATTCCAGAGGACACAGGTTTATCTTCAGATCTCACACATCATATTTTACTTCACAACTGCATTATAATTAGTTTTATGCAACCCTGAATATGTGAAGGAGGTGACCCTTGTTGAAATGTGTTTGTTAGGGGATCACAAATGCTGTGCCACTTTCTAATACAGTTGTACCTAGAAAGGCAAAATCACTTTAAGACCGCTTGTTCTTTTTCCTCTAGCCCCCATTCGACTTTCAGGTACCACATTACAATATCAAGGGTTAGCTTCTGATCCAAGTGAAGTTTATAAGAATGAGCTTTGGAACCAAGTCTGCTACTGCCACTAGACCTGTTAACACCACTTGAGGAGCAACTTATGAAAAGAATGAAACAGCTTCTCAACACTGTACCTCTCCAAGTGAAACAAAATCATGAGCAAGACAAGCAGAGAGAGAAACTACGAAGAGAAGAGAAGAGAAGAGAAGAGAAGAGAAGAGAAGAGAAGAGAAAACTAAAGCTTTATCACTGGGACGTAATGGCCATTGGTGAAAGGCAACTACTCTTCAGGAAAATCAAAAGAGATGTGCTAGTATTTTTAGAAGAACAGATTCATGTTAAAGAGTCAACAGAGGGACTTGTAATAAGTGCAATATACTAATGTGAGAAAATAGCAATGTAAACGCTATGACAGTGGGAGACTGAAAGACCTTGAGAAGGGAGGAAAATTTTGGTTTATTTCCTAGGCAGTTTATTTTCTAGAGCTGTGGTGTCCAACCAGTTCTGAAGCAGTAGCCACCACAGTGGTTACTGCTATAATGAACTAGCCATATTCAACTTGCCAAACAGCCACACGTGGCTAGTGTACTGGACAGCACGGATATAGAGATTAGACTACAGACTTTTCGGAAACAATCCATAACACTTGCCATGTCAACCTTTCACCTCCAGAAGCAGCAGTGGCAGGTCAGTCCATACAGAGCCATCAAGCTGGGTGTCTTCCTAACTCTCCCTCCTCTTTTTTGTTTAATTCACTTCAATTTTTAGCAGCGTTGAGATAGGAAGTAAAGTTTTAATTACAAAATTAGCCTAATAAAAAATTTATTAAAACTAAAAGGAAGCAATTCTGTCAACATAAGTTCTCAGCTACTTGAGGAGTCTATCTAGCAGCTTTGTTTAATAGGAGAAGGGTTGGATATATATCACTGAAATTACTAGGTGTCAAACTCTGCAATAAGGAGTAGTGGGTATGAGGATACAAGACCTATTATTGGGACACTCAAGCCTGTTTTCAGTTTAAGTTTTTAGAACGAAAAGAGAACTTCATTAGCCCTATCCAAAGGTGCAAGTCCCTGGTCATTTTATCCACACAGAATTAGACACAAAACAACTGGGTAATTCGTCAAGAGGATCAGGCAGTGGACCATGAATTAAGATTTTTGGGGGGGCTTGTCTACACTAGTAAGTTACTGCCCTGTAGCTTTCTCCCTTGGGGGGTGTGAAAACACCCCCCTCCCAGCACAGCAAGTTACAACATTGTGTTCCAGTGTAGAGCCCCCCAGCACTGTTAGTTACTCCCTCCATGGAGACAGTTTCCCTTGTGCACTGGGAGAGCTCTCAACCCAATGCTGGTGTGACCACACTGCCATGTTAAAGCACTTTAAACTTGGAAGTGGAGACAAAGCCTGTGAATCTAATCTCAGCTCTGTTGCAGAGCTGCTTATCATTTTAGCAAGGTCACTCACCCATGACTGTTGCATTTTACAAATGGCAACAATCAATGGCTCTCCCTCCATCCCCCTTTCTCAATATAAAAGCAATGATGGGAGAGTTCTCTCCTTAGACTGCACCAAAATCACTAGAACCACCAAGTTAAAAGGGTTATCAGTAAGAAAGAACAAGGCTGTCAGCTGTGCAGCCAAACCCATGTTTAGTTTATGATAACGGAGAATATAATGAACTTAATTAGTTGGTGACATTTCAAAGCTGTTGTTTTTTTCCCCTGCTTCACTTGACATGTTTTGCTAAGGGCAAAACAAAATTGTGTTTTCTTGTTGGAATTTGGCATAGGAAAGAGCTCAAGGGTCCTTCCCATTGTACATACGACCCTTTCCTCAGCAGATAGATCAACCGTGACAAAAATGCTCCAGATCCATTTTCTGTTAGCAAAACCAGCATCAGTCTCTTTTTAAGTGTTCATTATGCCCACGATTTTATTGACAAAACCATCAGGGGAATTACAGAACCTATAGAATGAAGGGGATAAGCATACAACAACTATATTCCTTCTATAAACAGGAATCAGCAGCTTTCCTACCATTACACATCCCTGCAAGCATGAGCTACACACAGAACCTCAAAACAAAAACAAATTTAAGATGCACCATGCGAGGTGGTTGATTTTTGTTTTTTTGTCATTGTTGTTTTTAAGGATCAAAACATACTGCACTTTCCTTCCCAAATTGTTTTCCAGACAGCTTTTGTGTGTTGTATTACACCAATACTAACAACAGAAGCTTCAGCTTTTATTGCTGTTAATACCCTGAGCAATTACAGTAATTTA